ACAGACTGTTGAGGGTTCAGCCTCCTGATGAGTCGGTGAAACTCCGACGAAACAGTTTGTCACAGCCCCTCGTTTGTTGTCCTCTTCTCCCTCCCTGCCTACGGTTTACCGGGCAGTTCTATTTGACCATATATATATATATATATATATATATATATATATATATATATATGCCATGGTTTAGGGTTTAGGCCCGTAGGGTATACAATTCAGGTTTTAGCACTGACAGACTTGAGAGGTGATCAGAAAATGAGCATGAGCTAGATGCAGAGCACAGCAGTGCAGAAATGGATTTGCTATACATATTGGTGGTGAGTATTTGTCCGAATAGAATGAAGCCTGAGTCATTAAGACTGTGTGTTCAAAGCAATTTTCAGGTCATACACTCATGTACATATGCGCAGGCAAGTGAAACGTAGAGTGTAGGCCTTCTTTCTCACTGATTCATAGTCAATTCAAGAGGGTTTATGAAAAAAACTTGATCATTCATACCCCTGAGACTGATGTTCGGGGCTTCAGGTTTTGCACATACTAAACATTATAGGCTAGGGTTTATGACCTCTAACAGGGTTTTAGGTCCTTATTAACTACTAGGGTTTTGGGTTTAGGGTTTAGGGGTTTTGGGTTTTGGGTGTAGGTGTTTAGGGTTTAGGGTTTAGGGTTTGTCATTGACACCCTGAGATTCATGTTCACGCCTTCGAGGTTTTACTTTTGTTTTTTTCTTTTTGCCTTACTTTGAATTGGCTTCAGATATTAGGCTAAAGTAATATCAAGTGTACTATCTGTCCTGATTACGAGTTTACTATCTGATCCGTGGTCCATCCGCGGTAACTACTATCGTCACTTACCATGGGAACTAGAGATGAAAATGAGAATAGAAATTGACTGCAGTTAATCACTGTTAATGGCATTCAACTCCATTGACAGTTCCCCAGAAATGAGTGCAATTGTTTCCACCTGTTTGCCTTTTCGTTTATTTGCGCCATAAGTAATTCTTTCACCAATTTCCTAATTTAACTGATTGGTGATCGGCAAATTTGTCTCCCACGAACCGCAGTACTCCGTACATATCCTTTCTTTCAAAACAAAGTTGGCTCCTATCTATTGGTGGGGACCAGCGCCCGCCTGCTGGAAACCGGCTCCAGTGTCCCACTAGCAACATAATGTAAGACTTTAACCCACACGCCTCCCCTTGTTACGGCCCACGGAGCCCAGACAGCATTGATTACTTCCTTTTCAGAAAGGATTGACTGTCAATCACGGCGAGTCATCCCAACAATACCCCACCCCTATTCTACTGTCTTCACCCGAATAGAACGCCCGGTACTTATTGCTGTATCTGGACTGAAAGTTGCACCAAATACAGATATAATGACCGGGCGTCCTATTCGGGTGAAGACGGTAGTCAACCACTTTCCGGAAACAAAACCGCACACTGCACGCATACTTCCCCAGACCCCCTGCCCCCCTCTCCACACCTGTGCCCTTCCTCAATCTCCCTCCTCTCCCCGCAAAATAATAATATCAAACTCATAAACAGTTAAGGGAGTATTTCACTATTTTTAGCATCTGCATGACATGACAACTTCACTCGCTATGACTGTAGCTGTAGCTTAACTGTAACAACAGTAACATTTTTTACTGTAGCTGTAGCTTACCTGTAACAGCAGTAACATTTTGACTGTAGCTGTAGCTGTAATTTTTTTTGTTTTTTACTTTTGACTGTTGCTGTAGCTTAAACAGTGGGAACAGTAACTTTGAACCATTGCTGCGGCTTAACAGTAACAACGGCAAGTTTTGACGGTTGCTATAGCTTAACAGTAACAACAGTAACTTTTTTTTTTGCCAGGGACGCTGTAGCTTAACAGTAACAACAGTAACTTTTGCCAGGGAGAGGTGACCTCGGTAACTCCAGGGGGGGGGGGGGGGGGGGGGGGGGGGGGGGGGGACTTTTGCCAGGTAAGCTTGATTATAAGTTGATTCAAACCAATCAGTTAACTAGTCGGTCGATCAGCTGCTTATGCTAAGATGGTTGGTTAGTCAAGTGTAGTATATCTAACTGAAAAGTTAACTAGTCGGTTCGTGATTTGGGTTTTGACCGTGCGCCCCTCAACGACTACACGCCAGACATCCCTGCTTGTCGGATGATGATATAGTCTGAACTTGGTGGCGACACAAAGGAGGAAGGCCTCCCTGAAATATAGCTCACATTTATGCTAAGTACGATGGTTGGTTAGTCGCGTGTCGTATAGCTAACTGAAAAGTTAACTAGTCGGTTAGTATAGTACCTGATAGATATTTAAAATTTTAACGCATTTCCCAACTGTAGCTCACAGTTAATGCTAAGATGGTTGGTAAGTCGAGTGTGGTCTAGCTACCTCAAAACTTAACCAGCCGCCACAGGCGGTTAGTTATTTGACCGTATTTCCAACTGCAGGGTGAGAGTAGATTACAGTTCGTCATGGTAATTCTTGGGACACCGTTCTCCAGATAGTTTGACTGCAGCAGCTGCAGTTAAACAAAGTAATTTACAAAATTTTACGGTCACCTCATCGTAATTTTTTCCAGAAACCTCACAGTAATTTTCCAGAAACCTCACAGTAATTTACAGTAACCTCACAGTCATTTGCACTACGTAGTTTACAGTTACCATCGGCATCTGCTTCACCGCGGTCTAGCAACATTTTTTTACCATGGCATCCACCTCCTGCTTGCACCTTGTGCTGTCATTACCTGTCAGTAAAAAAAACACTCGCATAGAGCGGAATGAAACCTCTCTCTCTCTCTAACTGCAATCGTCGACGGCAATGAATCTCTCTGTAACTGCAATCGACGGCAATGAAACCGCTCTGTAACTGCAATCGACGACCATGACAACACGGATATCATCGTATGTGAAAATCCGCTTTTACTATCGTTCGTTCAGGCGTACTGAGGTGTGGTATGTGGACAAAGACAGATTGGAGGAGGGGGGGGGGGGGGGGGAGGGGGCTGGTACCTGTGAGAGCGGTGGGGGTTGTACGGGATTGCGGGATAACCGCAATGACCTTATTTTACATTGTTTACAACGAGAATCAAGACTGAAATCGGCGTATCATCAGCATGATGATGATGATGACTGCACAGCATCTGCAGGTATCACCCTTGTCTTTCTCTTCCTCATTCAATTCCTCTTCTATCCCCCTCGTCTTTCTCTTCTCCCCCCCTCCCTCCCTTCTCCCCTGTCGCCCCTCAGTTGTCCAATGATGGAATGCTTACGCATTCTTGACTTTCCTGGGGCCCTTGGATCTCCCTCCAAAGGTTCCCCCCACCCTGTTAGGGCCCTTGGATCTCCATCCAAAGGTTCCCCCCCCCCTGTTATCTTGCCAGCTTCACAGCCAAACAACCGTCTACTAATCTACTAAACCAGGGTTGGCTTTCCCGCTCTTTTTTTTCCCGCCAACTTGATCGAGTACCGTCTAGTTCCGCTTCTCCCGCGCTACCTTCTCTTGGATGAATGAACGATTACTTACTACTATCCCATCCTGGCTTGGGGCAAGGTCCCACTTGCACGGTGATTAAGAGATTTTCTGGCCGTTGATGATCTTTGCTATCTACGGTCAATATCGCTTAATTCGTTAAGTGGGACCTAGCCCCTGGACGAGGCCGGAAGAAACCGCCGAACTGCCCCTCCTTGGCTGCCGACTAAGGGCATACTCACGGTGGTGCTTTCCTAAATGTATCCCATCAGCAATTACGGCCCGAATCTGCATGAATCTGACCGCAATACCGTCTAGAGCGGAGTCGGAAAAGTCCTAGTTTGAGTATGCGCTCAGATTCCCACGATCAAAACTGAGCCCCGATATTGCCGCCCACAGGACGGTCTTCTTTCTTCCCGCCAAATTGGACGTTCTTCTTCCCGCCAAACTTCATCGCCATCCTCAGTCCCCCTAACAGAACGCGGGGTCATCATCGTATCTGTCCTGAGCGAGAGATGTCACGTGAGGTGGAGAAGAATGATGACGGCACCACGTTCGCCTTCTACCCGGGGAAGAGAGTAATTGCTGGAAGGTCGGTTTTCCCGCCAATTTTTTGATTGATTGATTGCCGTCATCGATTAAGTTCCACGGGGCTGGCTGAGCCGACGTTCGGTCGCTCTTCCCGCGAACTTCATTACCACACACTCTGTCCTACACCAGGTTCAGCTACCCAGATTTCCCGCCAAAAATCGTTTTCCCGGGAGTTTCGGTATACTTCCACTACCATCTATTGAACCAGGACCGGCAGACCGGTTTCCCGCCAGATAAGTCGGCTGGATGGCGGCTATTGATTGCTGATGCTGCAGAAGAAGACGGGCCAGGATCCGACCGCAGCGCGGCTGACGGCAACGTGTCTCGATTTCCTGTCCGTTCGTTGCGATTTGCCCTCGTTCGGCTTCTGCCTCCGGCGATGGCGGCACCTGACGACCTGTCACGTGCCGCCCGAATGGATGATGATGATCCGGACGAGGACGCGGCGCCGCCGCCGCCGGCCATCGCTGAGTCGTCGATACTTTTCTGGTTGATGTCAGCATATGTCCCGACCGTTTTGGCGGGAAACACAGGGAGAGGCGGTGCAGGTCGGTACATTCCTCCTCCACTCATTTGCCCGCCAAAATCTCCGCCGCGTCGTATGCCATTTGGCGGGGAAAAGAGCGGCACGACAACCGGCTGGCGGCTTTGACTTTGACTTCGGACAGCTGATGAGAAATCCGCAAGCGGCGGCCCAGGACATCTGTAGGTTGACAAATCGCCCGTATATATATTGAAATACACACCAGGATCCGACGCATGAATGTAGTCAGGTCCTGGAATTAGAATGCCCCTGGGAAGTGTCGCTAAGCCTTGTTGCTGCTGCTGCTGCTGTTGTTGCAGCGGGTTTTGGTTGACGGCATGCACAAACAGATCCACACAGTGAACATAATACTGAGCCCCTTTGAACGAAAACCCTTGATGCAGCGCAACGATTTCCCCCCTAATTATGTAATACCCCCTAGGCAAAGTGGGGGGGATCCGGACGCGCATGGCTCCACTGTTGGCGCGCAGTTCATCCACACCCCACTGCTTCGTCGTCGTGTCATAGCAATGTGCATGGATCTTAAACCATTGTAATTTATTTAACGACGAGGGGGAGGGGGAGGAGGAGGAGGAGGAGGAGGAGGTTCTCTCATCAACTTTGGCCATGTAAACAGAATAAGGACCTTTATGAGACTTGTCGATGAACCCAGGTGCACCGAATCTGTTCTGTGGGACGAAGTACCATTGCAGATTGATCGTGTCCCCCGCTTTGACAGCACAAGGAGGCTTAGGATTCACTCCGGCATTGCACACGATGTTGGGAGCGGTAGTATCGTAGAGAGGGGAGTTGAGAGCCGTATTATGATCTCTTACACATGCCGTCAAATCCTGTCCGTTGATCGTGACATGATCCAAGAAGGTGTGAGCTTCGACAACAAGCTGACGAGGGGAGAGAACAGGAAACAGGATGAAGAAGAAGAAGAAGAGGAGGAGGGAGGAGAAGACGATCAACTTGTTGACGTCAGCCATCGCCATCGCCATAGCCATCACCTTCTTCTCATCGGTCAAGGTTGACAACACCCATCGCCATCGCCATCGCCATGACAGTTATTCATAGTCGTCGTCGTCATTGTCGCCTTCTCGGCTCTCAGGCCGACATCAGCCATCGCTGTCTTCTCCGCTGTCAGGCCGACATCAGCTGTCGCGATCCCGATGGACACATCTCTCATCCGTGACACGTCCTCTTCTCGGATCCCCACTTCAGCTCAGATGATCCATGCCATCGTCATCGCTCTCGACTAAAGTTAAATACTTGTCAAATAGAGATCGCCATCGCCATCGCCATCGTCATCGTCATCGTCATCGCCATCGCCATCGCCATGCCGTCGAAAAGTGAGCAAGGGGTCCAAATGGACATCGTTATCGTTCACGGAATAAACTGATGTTGGCTTCGTTAACTTTATCCCAATCCTTCCATCGGAGCAGCAGCGGCACACTCTACCTGCTTCTTCTTCTTCTGCGTCTTCTTGAACACGTCCGAGCCAAGGGGTTGTCAAGCCACTCCATAGCCAAGCTTTTTTCCTCTGAATCAGCAGTCGTAAGATTCACCATATGATAATCATCAACATCATCATCATCATCATCATCATCATCATCATCATCATCATCATCACTTTCAACTTTCAATCATCACCAACACCACCACCATCACCATCATCATCACCACCGCCGTCATTATCGTCATCCCCATCATCGCCATCCTAATCATGTTTCACGGACACACAAGCACCAATTGATCCATGTGTATAAATCTCTCTCTCTCTCTCTCTCTCTCTCTCTCTCTCTCTCTCTCTCTCTCTCTCTCTCTCTCTCTCTCTCTCTCTCTCTCTCTCTCTCTCTCTCTCTCTCTCTCTCTCTCTCTGCATCGACAGTTGATGAGTGATTTGACTATCAACTGTCCGTCACTGTCATGTTGCCTAAGTAGAAACACAGGTAAGTAGAAACAACAGCCATTCAACAACCTTTTGAAAAAGGAGAATTGATTAATTACTTCACACCAAGAACGTGACGATAGGGGGGTAATAAGCTTTCCGTTTAACATTTGACCATCTCTTCAGTCACATCCTCATTTCGTATCTTCATTTACGTATCCTCATTTCTGACTTTTTTTTCTTGTCCTTGGCAATCCATATAAGTACACCTATTCTTATAAGCTGTCATAAATTCAATTACGATAATTCGTTTATTACAAGTCATTTACTACGGTAGGCCCGATTACTGTCAGGTCTTTTACAGGTTCTGTTTCCGGTCGAGCCGGCTGTCAAGGCCGTGTACCCATTCGATGCTGAAATCACCGTTCCTGCCCTTATATAGTACATAAATCTGTTGTTATTCATCTGAATCTATTAATAATTTGATTATTAGCATTGATGTATTTTTTATATTATTGTGATTATTGATGATGTTGAGATGATCCAGGGTCTAAACCGTAGATATTGGCTTGTCAAGCAGGAAGGAAAGTCAGTATTCCACCGGGTAAGTGTACGCCAAGCCACGCATGTCATAGACTCAGGACATGATCGGCAATCAAAGAAAGACCTCAGAAGTAAGCAAGCAAACAGATAATTGGTTACCCCCGACTAAAAACCGCATTGGCATTACGAACGCATCTGACAGGAATCCTGACTTTTGTGTGTGCCTGTGTCTGTGTCTGTGTGTGTGCCTCTGTGTGTGTGTGTGTGTGTGTGTGTGTGTGTGTGTGTGTGTGTGTGTGGATGGGGGGGTGTATGGCTAATGCATGTGCGTGTACTGCAGAGACAAGAGAAAGAGCCATCCACCAAGGTGTAGTTTCCTGTTCCCTGAGAACCACCGAGAGAGAGAGAGAGAGGCATGCCACAGAGGCTGTTTTTTACGAGATGAGAATGTGCATGAGAGGGGGTGTGCATACCTGAAGCGTCCTTCGGAACGGACATGAGCGGGAGGGGTTAATATATACCCCAGAAGAAGAGCATGGACGACTGTGACGCAGGGAGCAACCTCCGACAACCGCGGAAGACCTGCAGCATGAACCGTGGACCGCAGTATGATCTGCGCATTGGTACATCAGCTTGCGAGCCCTTCCTACGCAAAGTGGAATGGAATTCAATTGGCCTCGCTCCGCTACTCACCGAATGTACAAAACACAAAAGATATGGCCGTGTATCCTCCCATGTTCTAGCCAAAGATTCATTCTCATTTTGCACATTTGGTGGGTAGTGGTGCGAGGCCCAATATTGTATTGTGTCTACTGATGAACCGGCCGCAATCTCAGCCGGACTGAGCTAACGGTAACTGTAAACGAACTCTTTTCAACGGCCTGTTCAGACGAAGACCGCCGGTAGTGCCAACGGCTCCCTCGTTCTTGGAGCTGCTGCAGCCCTCTGGATTCCCGAGGAGCCGGGATCCAGGGTGCTATCGCCCGCACGGGCGGGGCCTTGCCGGGTCATATCAGACCCCTCCAGTGTTTTTCGACGCAACCCCCTATTTTTCTCCTTTTCTCTACCTCTCCTTTTTTTTTTTTTTTTTTTTTTTTTT